CAATATAAATCTATTTGAGCTCAGTGTTGGAGAAGAGGTAACACCATGGCTTGGTATAGGCAAGGCCCTATTCGGTAAAGTTTGTTGTTGAAAACATTGATGTTGCAGTTGTTGTTGATTAACCCACGGAACAAAATGTATAAGTCTGTATAAAGTATCACATATCGTGTTATTAGCATTCGCAATAATTTGGGAACCTTCAGGCGAGTGAGTACTTTTTTTTATTTGTAATGGGTGCAGCCATATTAGGTGGGGTCTGAGTACACTTATCAAATCGTTTTCCCTTCTAAGAACCCATTAAATTCTCATTTATTCTCAAACAATACGTTTCAACATGCAAAGTTAAACTGCAGGTTAAGTCTATAGAATGTTTCTTTAATATCTGCTATATAGTTCCTTTTTCATTTGAGAGCTGTCATGGAGTGTCTACTCGATCCGTCGCCATTTTTTTATTTAGAACAGGAAAGCATCTCATACATGTTTCTCTCTTTGCAAGCATACATTCAAAAAAAAGCAATCATATAAGAGAATATGTTAGGTAAAAGTTAATAAAACAGTAACACAACAAGAACAAAAGACGCACTAGAGGTCAATTTACCAACACTGAAAACCATGCTGTAAAATCACGTGTCAAGCTCCTACTGGTTCTTAATTTAGATACGTAAATTAAATGCGATTCTAAAAAACTCATCAAAGATACCAGGCTTTCTATTTCGTACACTACATACGCGTTTCGTCTACATAACACGCATCAATGACACATGAATCAAACCAGTTGAAGCCAAATAAAAATCTTAAACTTTGACTCTTGTTCAAAAATGCTTTACTTTATAAAACGTCTCAATGCACACATTAAATCTGCATATATAAAGATATATTTAAATAATCTTAAATTTTACAAAGGTGATAGAAATTTACTAATTTCGACAATTAATGCGATGCTGCTAGAAATTTTATAAACTGTATGCTTGATTCTATAGAACTTTTTTTAACACTGCTGTGATAATGTGCAATGAATATTTTTCGAATTAGTTTTACAAAATGCCATCTTTACAAGTAAAATTTATAGAAGCTTAATATTTGTTTTTGTTGTGTTAAAAATATATATCATTAAAAAAAAAAACATACAAAGAAACTTTTATAGTTCAATCATTTGATCTTGTGCTAATTCATATCAAGCAGCAGAAATTAGAAACAAAAACAAGGATAATAACATGTTAATGAGATAACAATGTACCATGATTTATACATATACTAGATCAACACACTGAGTTGGATTTGAATCTGTTGGCTAACTAGTTAACAGCCTGCTTGTAAATATATCATCATACCCAGGCACCATATTCTGATATCTTAACTTATGAGTTTTCCTGAATTTCATGCCGTGTTTTCCCCATGGCCTTTTAGCATCATTGTAATGTGATGCTTTGTGAAATGATTGTCTTGTAGGTTGTAATATGGATGAGATGCTATAAATTCTAGAACGAAGCTATTTCTTAATTCTCTGCTTATCAGGTTGCTATATGGAATGTGTTAAGAAATCATTGAGTCAAGTACTTGACAGAGAATCACCAAATATGAAATTTTTAGTCTTTTGTTAGACCTAGTGGGGATTAAGCAGGTACTATTCTGCGAAGTGAACATATACTTTTGACCACTAATTTGACAGTAGAAAATACTAAGTAGAAGATACAAAATCAGTTCTGTTAAAAAGAACCAGTGATGGAGGTTGTCATATGATGATCCATAATTATCGATAATCAGTTGGTTGATCAAATAAATTCTTCTAATCAATTATAAATTTTCAAAATTGAATGTAATCGTTTCTTGCTGAGATCGTAAAATTAAGGTTAATCATTGGCAAACTGGCAAAAAATAAAATTGATATTTTTTTAAGATGAATCTAACTTTTTATGGATGATTCACTAACACATGTTTACAAACATAAGTACAACTTAACGTACCTACGGAAATATAGAAAAATCTCAATTTTATCCTATTCAAATTTCTAATTATTTCAGCCGATGATATACAATAATTTATAAATGATCATTATCCAGAATTTAATCCTTTGAACCAACACTACATGTGATACTCGGACAACACAAACTTAAATATAAGAGAATATAAACCCAGAAAAAAGGTACAAATAAAACAAAAGCACAATACTGACAAAAACAATGTTTTGTTTTTAATTCAGTATTGATGAAAGTTGATATGGGATGAACGTCCATTCGACAGTTACCAAAATAGTTTCAGCCAAATGCTAGTATATTTTCATCTTTTCTAGACTCTGTGCGATTTAGAGAATGAAAATCAAACATAATACATGTTTTGTGTCCGAAGCGCTCTTTAAACTTTACCATCATTAGGAACGTTTGCATGCCAAGAATATATAAACACTTCCTAAATACAAGAGGATCTATATGAACACAGAGGGTTCAAAGAGAAAAGCCAAATCAACCAAAAGTCAACTTCGCCTGAGGGATTTCGCACCTTTATTTCTTTATCATTTCTAAGATACCAAAAAGAGAAGTTAAGAAAGATGTGTTATATTTTTTCTTTGTCAAAGCACTGGCTACTGGCTGTTGATACCCTCCACCTAGTGATAGAAAAAAAATAACGCTTTATAAATTTGGTGAGTCTGACGCGCTTCTGGATTGACCATCACCAGGAACACTAAGCCTAAGAAAATAAATGACGAGGATGTATAAATACTAGAATACCTTGAAATCTTTATGACCAAATAAAGTCATCTGCGTACATCATGTGTGCACAGCAAAATCTAGTTAAGTTTCTAGTTTTCTGAAACATAAAATGCATTCGAATTTTATTTATCTAGGGCATGTTATTCCTTAAAACTATGCCAGATGTTACAATGTACTATTGTTTTTCTGTTGGTCATTTTCCTTTTTTCCCATATTTTTGTCAGTTTATTTCCTCTGACTTATGACTTTGAATGTACATTTTGTATCTGATGCCTCTCTTTTAATAATATTGTTCGATTGGGATAGTTGTTTTCCTCGATTATGAAATTACCTTATTGGTAATTACAATGAGCAACATCACGGGAGCTATTTTTTAGACTACTAGCTCTACCATATTTCTCCTTTGATAAAATATATTTATTTCTTTGTGATAGTTTTTAAAAGTCAACATTCTGCTTCATGAATGATGTTTACTGTGAAAAATACCAAAGCCATTATTTCTGTCAGTAACTCATGGAGGATGATGAAATATTTGTTAGAATAGACCTCGAAATTAGAGTTACACAGATTGAAAGACATTGTACATTCAGATCTGTGTAAAAAAACAGGAAGCTCTTAATTGATCACATTAAAACCTATTTTGTCAACTTTGCATTTGTAAATTTTCAACCTATTTTTTTTTTTTTACAATTGTTCCTGAAATTATCTCATTTTTTATCTAACATTATGATTTAACCTTTTACCCTAAAAGTCCCTCAACTACTCCTTGAAAATTGCAAAGTTAGACCACTTATTGTTACAATCACTTATTCTATTGCCGAAGCATCATCTGTTGAGTCTTTTGTAGACGAAACAAGCGTCTGGCATAGAAAATTGTAATCCTGATATCTATAAAGAGTTTATTTCCCCCTTTTGATTCGGCTGAAGTTGTTGAACACATTTTGTGGGAGCTGTATAACAGATGTATATTGAATTTCCATCTTTAGATTTAAGATCATATAAATCGCATTTCTTTTTTATACCCAACGTATTGTAGGCTTAAATACAGTTGATCGTTTTGTATTAGCGAAATACCCATTATGTACTTTATTGTATATAATGTAAGGCAGAACATTCAAGTACGTTCTAATCTGCTGACATTAACCTTTTAGATCTGACATATTGCGTGACGAGACAGTGCAGCAGACTAGATGCACCAGAGAAATTCTACAACACGGACCAATCTGGAAAAATGAATCGCCTGTTTTTTTTTGTTACACTTTTTATTTTCATTAAAGGCTTTGTTTCAGAAGCGACCTTAGGAGGTAAGTTTATTTGTTTGTTTAATGATGAAATAGTATAAGTTTAAGAGTCAATATGTACTAGTATAAAAAGAACAATAAAAATTGAAGCATAATGGAATTTTTTAAAATACATTATAATTTTTACAGAAATCTGAACATAAGCGAAAAATTAATGTGCGTGTGTCTATTTGGGTGTGATTCTGAAGGTGTTAGTGTGCGTTGGTGCTAGTGTGTTTTCGTTATATTATTATTTCAAACAGGTATGCATAAAATAAAAGCACGGATAGAAGCCACAAAAGTTTGTTTTGTAATTTGAGAGGATACATAAATGGAAATGACTCTTTCATTTGATACGCTTATAGGACCATCTAATATTTAAATGCTAGAAAAGGTAGGCAATTTCAATTGACCTCTGTAAATCAGATAAATTAAGGAATCATTATCCCTTTATGCCAATGAGACAACATCTAAACGATGCAAATTGTCAAAAGACACCTGGAGGTCATCATATTATCATCCAATTTTCTGTAATAAACAATTGTTATGCCAAAATGTAAACTAAAAATGGTCACTTTTCTATATGATTGTTTTGCACTTGCTTTAACTTGCTTTTTCACAGCTAGGTTTTTAAGTGTTGTTTTCATGGGTTTATTTATTCAGATGAGGAAAGATATGGACAAACATGTGCTTCGTGTTCAGCAGTAGAAACCTCTAATGAATGTGAACACACTATTAGATGTGATCACAATGAGGTGAGTACTAATTTATTTTTGCTTAGATACTACTATGAATGCCTTGCTTCACCTTAAACAAATAAAGAAAATATTTCTATATTTTATTTAACATAATATGCTTTTCACACATGTGAACACATATTTGACGGTAGCGTTCATGCACAAATTGATAAGAAGATATAACAATCAATTGACACTCACGTATTTTGATTACCAGGAAAATTAAAAGATGACAATGTGTAAGATAAACTTTACATTTATTAAAGGTGTGTTCCATGCATTATTACGTCACAGAATCTGGAAAGGCTCTGTTTGATTATGGATGCGCTGTTCCACAGGTATTATAATCTTTATACTTTAAAGCCGTATACGTCATTTTCAAATTCGGTTCAATGAAAAAAACATTGCTTTGCGATCATGTATATCAATTTTATTATGTTGCTGTAGTAGAAGACAAAAATCAGATGTAATAATTTATTTTGGATTAAATATTTACGCTTGATTTTTTTTTTATATTGAATCTTTTACTAAAAAGGGGGTGAATGTGGTCTCAAAATACTAGTTTACTCCCGACACGTTTTAATTGGTTCTTGCCTTTACACGCTCGCATTAATACAAAATAGATTGTTTTTGCTTTTTATCAAATTAATGCATTCAATTTTACAAAGATGTCGTAATTAGTTGTTAGTCATTTACTACAAGATAAGATTTTTCTTTTTTTTACAAATTACGATTTCAAAACCAGTAATTTAAAACTGGAAACTTATTTGAGTATTATTCGTGCAATCTGTCTTAATTTATTGTGAACACTGAATTTTTGTATAACAATGCAATTTAATTTGTTTTGTCTTTCCAGACATGTCTACAAGGCATCGGTCCTATTTTTGGAAGACGATCAGAAGGTCATCACGTAAAATGTGTCGTGTGCTGTAATGACACAATCTCATGTAATCGAAATCTGACATGTAACCAGAATAGTTTACAAAGTACGTTTATTTTAATAATGCTCTCATGAAATATGCTTTCTTATCATGCTTATTGAGTCTCTTATAGTGGATGAACAAGGAATATTATAATATTTCCTGAATATTGACGTCTGTACGGTCACATATGTTTTCTTACATCGTGGTCATTTGAGCGTGGTGGGTAGCTGTCTCATAGGCAATCATATCACGTCTCCTTATTTTTATATCTACACTTTTAAACATATCACTTAAGTTTCAATACAAAATGTTCATCCAATAAGGATAAGACTGGTCATCGAAACATTATAATATATGACGCTTCTGATGTATCAACACACGTTACTTATTTATTGCAATGCCAAAAATTTAATCTTTCGTTACTGATACATATTTGATTTGTCTAAGTAGCTTTAAAAATTCAAATGACTGTCTGTGTTCTAATTAAACAAATCATTAATTTGTTTTAATGATGTAGTACTACAATGTATATGAATGATGACAGTCATTAATCGTTTGAGATAGGTACTCAATTTCTTTTTTATTTCGACTATTGTAAGGGCACATATCCACGAACTTCTGCTTTGTTATTTCTCTAATGTATTTCATTAAATATTGTGTTCCAAATTCATACTTATGGCTCTATGGAGTTTTTTTTTCTAAAATACTGAAAAAGTATTCACTCAAAAGCAATATAATCCAATAGCATGTTTTACTTTGTATTTTTCAATCAATATGATAAAATAAATCAAAGACACAAGTCGTTTTGGTAAGCCAGACACGCATTACGTAAACACAAGTCCCGCCAATGGCACTTGAATTAACTTCATATCATATAAGAAGTAAAAGCCAAAAATTTGCTAAAGTTGTGCTATCTATTCTTGGATTTAAAAAACCGTTTGGATTGAAATAGTTCCGTATTTCATAAATTGTAGATTCGCAGAAGATGACCGTATTGTTGATAACTCATGTCAACACGAAAATACTGACCACTGGGGTGGTGATACTCTGGTGGACGAAACGTCCACCGGCATTGGCATTAACACAAGTGGCTGTAAAAAAAAACCTCATCAAATAAAGAAGGCTTAAATTTAATACGTCAGACGTGCCTTTAGACTAAACTAGATTCATCATTAATGCTTTTGATACTTTCATATAACTGTAATTTTATTGATGCTGGTTAAGGGTAAATTAATAAAGGGTATCTGCCACCTATTTACCAGTAATTATTATCAGATATGTTTTTAAAGATGCATGATGATTATAAATTATCAGTTTCTAAATTTTTTTAACTTTGCTAAATCTAATGTTACAGCTCCTTTATTCTCTCACAATAATAAATATTATACAAAGTACTTATTGCTTTTTGTACTACATCAGCAGCATGATAAGTGATTCACGTCTTGCTTTTCCAAGATTTTGATTGTTCACTCAATTTTAAAAGCCAATTTGAAATCATAGTTTTATTTTGTTTTTTTGTTTTTAGATTCATCATTTCCAAGAGAATGCTCGGACATTAAAGGTATCTTAAAAAATGGCGTATATACAATTTATCCATTTGGAAAACCTACACCGCTTATGTCTGTATTCTGTGAAGTTGATGGGAATGGAAATGTCTGGACGGTGAGCTTTACATATTATACGCAAGAATGCTTTAAAATAACTGATATTGTAGAATTATAACATTACAAACTTTCTAGATTAAGTGCTAGTGCCATAATCTCCTTGTTGGAATATCAGTGTTATTGTTCGTACCAAAGACATGTAATTTGACTTTCAATCGTTGTATTTTATTTAGTTTGTTCCTATTTTAGATGATTCACCGCCATGTGAAACTATGAATGTACAGAAACGTTATAATTTTTTAAGTTTGCAAAAGACAAACGTTATCATTAAAAGATATGATTTTTAAAAAAATGAAATATACCGTAAATTCCATAAAATATTGCACGTTTTATACCCTTATGAGAATTTCTTAAAGTTTATATTGTTTAACGTATGTGAATACCTACTGATGGTAATCGCTAAATTAAGAAATTATTAAGAAACTTAGGCTTACTCCCTAAATCAAATATTAGATAATTTTTGCTTATACTTTTGGGTCTCTTTTGGTGATATAGCTCATCATGTTTTAAGGTATATATACATCCTTTGCCTTTCAAATGTTTTTGTATCAGTGTTCCTCATAATCCTGATTAAAGCGCTTCGTATGCACAAAATTTATTTTCGTGTTCTAGATCTCAATAGCAATGACGAGTCAATAATCACTGAAAATCAACGCTTTGATCATTGCATCATCCGGAATAAACACTGACAATCTAGCTTTCTGGTCATTGCATTTTTATCTTGTGTTTGAGCTTTTGATTTTGCCTTTTGATAAAAGACTTTCCGATTTGAATATTCCTTGGTGTTCGGTATTTTTATTATTTTACTTTTTCAATTGTTTTTCCTTTTATAATACAGTGTATATATGTTTACTATTAATTACACCGTCCATTACAAGGATATACAGAGGAGAATCGATGGCACCGTTGATTTCTTTAGAAACTGGACTGACTACAAACATGGTTTTGGTAATGCACAAGGCGAATATTGGATTGGTTTGTATTTTTTAAAGCTTATGCATATGAAAAAAAAATGTTATTTATAGAAAAAGTGTAGAAGTAAAATTTACGTAAACGAAATATTTCCACTTATCTCGGTGTTAAATTATCTCGTAAAAACTAATTTTTGGACGTTTCATCGACAAATAGTCAATGAGTGGCAAAGGACCACCTTTAATTATGAATAGGCTTAGCGTATATTAAGTCAGTTATCATTATTGTTAGATCATATAATTTTAATATTTTAATTTGATTGTGATTATTCTTTTGAATGCATTAACTTTTTTGAAATTATAAATAAAAGAATTATACATTTTTACGCGTTGTCAGCTCGTTTACATGCATCTTCATGACCACTAGAAATCTAGCCAGACTACATGAAGCAATACCAAAAGGAATATAGAGGGAATCCCATGAACTCCCAAAATGGAGTGAGATCGGATGTGTCGACCGGCTAAACGTCTCAAGAATCTCTTAGAATATAACGTATTTTTGATATTTGTTAAAACTTAAGTTTAAATATATTGTGCATTAATAAGAGCAGTGATAACTATTTGTCTTGTTTTTTTTAATTTTTATTGTTCTAGCATTTACGTATTGTTTATTAAATGGGCTACTCATTTAACTTAAAGGGGCATTAGCTACGAGATATTAAAAAAGATATGATTTTTTTTTCAATCATTAATGAAAGTAAAATAGTGAAATAATAATTCGCCTTAGCAGCCAGTTTTGGTTCAATTTTGTCAAAATATGCAAAGAAACATCACTGATGAATTATTCACTTGCAAGTGAATATTTCGACCTCATTGAATCTGTATTCATGTAACCTTCAATTTAACCCCTTAGCTAGAGATGAGTTACGCATGAATTAGGCGTGTTCAGTTATTAAAAGGAAAAGAATTTCAACATTGAAAATGAAACATGGGTAAATCATTTGATTGACTGATTCGATCCACAAAAACTAATTCTGATACAGGTAAACGTGATGATTAACATATATATTTAACCTATAATATGAAATCGAACAGCCCTAGAAAAATCCAATTGCACGGGTTCGCTATCTATTTATATCTTTATTTATTCATGTTATGTATATATCGGGTTATATGACCGTCGGTAGTCTTTGCAGGTCACCTCGGTGGTTAACTAGATGGCGTCTAGACTAAAATACACACGAAATTCTGATGCATATTATCGAGCCCATGCATCGTAAAGTGTTTATATCAGCCTTTATATAATTTGGATATGCTTTTTAGTATGTTATAAATCAAATATGAGAATATGAGTCAATTCGGTGAACATGAATTTGACAGCTAATCCCCTTTAACAATGCTCAATTGAAGGTCATGCTTTATTTTTGTAAACTATATGCAGTAACTATTTGAACACAAGCAGTGAGGGTTAGATCCATGCTTTAAGAACTTGTTTTATTAGGAAACGATATAATACATCAGATAACATCTAATGGAAACCACAGATTGCAGATTATAATGACAGACTTTTCAAGTGTTACGAAACACGCAAGCTATGACAGTTTCAGTGTGTCGAATGAGACAAATGGCTATAAACTTTCTCTTGGGCGTTACAGTGGAGACGCAGGTACCTTATTAATACGTATATTCAACATCTGTTATTTGATAAATAGATTCATTTAGCCATATATATATATATATATATTTATGCGACTGTATCTTACGATCCTTTACGATAGATATTTAGCAAATCTGCAATCAATTCCATCTTCATGCCTAATATATCATGTACTGTGTTACAACTCTAGATTCTACTGACGAGGAACGGTAACACTAAGCCACCGAAAGCTGAATTATTTAGTTCAGAGCACTATTATTTAGAGCGCTGGACACAGTGCAGGCGCTGTTGTCTCGATATCCCCATAGCATGAGTTCTAATCCCGGCGAGGAAAGAACAAAGAACAAAAATTTGCTTCCGCAAATTTGCAGATTTAACATTGTTGTGCTGATATTTAGAGTAATTATGTTATATATATATACATATTATTCGGGATTCTACAGGGGATATTGGCATAATTATATTCCCTGTCAGTGGTTTTATATCCCCTGTCTCCGTCAAGCTCTTATAGAAAGAAAGGACGAAAGAGACGAGGGATCTTAAATGAAGCATTCAAACTGGAGATGGTATTGCATGAAACAACTATTATATTTACAGATATTTAGCTTGTTTGAAATATCAAAATGCTGGAGTTATCGATGACACTATAGTTAACTTTTTAACTTTAATTGCAGAGTGTAAACATAATACCAAAATTATGTACTGCTTTCAGCTGTGTATACGTTTGCAGGGTACATCTTTTTAGTAATGTTTGGGTCTACGTGACCGAGTTGTCTAAGTACTTCATCTACTGTATCATTATTCTTGCAACGTTAGGGTTGATAGTTTAAATCCCGCACGTAGCAGGAGCGTTCGACTGCTACCTTTTCTGGCTGAAATTGTAAGTTTTTCTGCCGAAGGTCGGTGGTTCTCTCTCCGGGTCCCTCCTGCAATTGAAAACAACTGATCGCTCAATATATCAAATAGTGCTGAAAATGCCGTTAAGCACAAACAATCGTTTATTCAATCTTAATAACGTTGGTTCGTTCCAATCACTTTTCTAGATTAACCTTCAATCCATCAATTTAAAAGCCAATGCCATATGTATGAGGAGTAATGCGGCCGGAAAGTGACCTACTGTGAATTCCAAATCCACCTACGATATGTTTTGCCTTACATATGTCGAACCTTATTTTGTATCTTACTATTTGTTAACCAATAATTTAGAAAAGTTTTTTTTTTTTGAAATATTGTCATTACAGAATAGTAGACTACTGAGAGATAGCAGAAGGTATCTACCCCGCGCTAGAAAAAAAACAACACTTTATAATTGTTGATGCAGTCAAACCGCTTTATCTGGATTGACGTTTATCAGAAACACTGAAAAAAAATTAAAAAAACCAAAATGTATAAATATTTGCATACACGTAGTGCTCTGTAGCCGGAAAGGAACCTAAATTATGCCTCTTTCGAAATTCATCATCAGATCATAATGGATAAAAAATATCTAAGCTTTTCAAACAATATTATGCACATCTTGTTATATCTTTTATTTGTGTTTAATGTATAAAATTCTACTTGATTTGGATTTGAATAACTTACCCTTTTTGGTGAATATGTTCAAACATTTTAAATATTAACAGAAAGATTATTGAAATTTGTATTACTTTTATTGCCTGAATTTTGATCAAGCATGGTACAAGTCTTGCACAATTATAAAAGATAACATATGGGTTTTTGAAAAAACACAGAAATTAAATACCCACTAATTCAGCCAGCGATTAACACAATAATGTGACAATAACAATGAGCTTACCGATTTAAATAATACAATGATGTTGATTATATATTTCAGGTGATTCTCTAACCAGACATAACGGACAAAAGTTTACGACATATGACAGAGATAATGACCCTTACGGTGGATGGAATTGTGCCACACATTATCATGGAGCCTGGTGGTATCAGGCATGTCATGACTCAAACCTAAATGGAAAATATTCCCTTACATCTCATTGCCCATATGGTACAGGCATCATTTGGCGCGCATTTCACAGCAGCTATTACTACTGCCTTAAATCAACAACCATGATGATACGAAGGAATTGAGATATTCAAGAATGAAAAATAAACCTTGATATTTCATTAGCTTTCCACCTTCCTTGATGCACATACATTGAATATAAATTAAGAATGATTGGTATGACTGCCAATAAGACAGCTATCCACCAGAGACCAAAGGAAGATAATGTGAACAAGTATTGAAGTTTTGTTGGTGTCAATTTATGCAATATCGCTACATTATAATTGTACTTTAAATTACGTTTGATGACGTTTAAAGTTTTAATGGGCTTTATATACGTAATACTTAATCAAATGATCATCATTATTGTCACCCCGTATAACCTCGATACAAATGAATTCGGACGTTGACGCGTTAATCGATAATCAGGACAACATTTGGGATGACAACAATATCGAATGCCTTTCTAGAACTTACGTGAGTATATCAATGTGTACATGAACATGGTAGTTTATTTAATCTAATCTTATAAAGATGTTTTAAGTTTTTGCAAAAGAAAGTTAGATAAAAATGCTAGATGCAAAACGCACAAGCATGGTGCAATTTTCTACATTGTATGAGGTAAACATTGTTCAATATCTTCTCTTACTTAAACTTTTGTGTAGTAATACTTCAAGCAATGGTAAACAACTACACGTTACATTACCAGGAGCCTTCAAATGTTCCCTAGAAATCCAAATAAACACGATATCGTTCTAAATAAGTTCATCTTTTACTGTATAGTTCTTTTCACCAAATATATCAAGTTCGTTCAATTAATCACTGTACAATTCGTTGACAAAAACCGTCACAAATCCCTGTCTTTTTTATGTATTCGTGATGGCATCGGCACCTTTTTTTTTGTGTTTTATTGTCAATTTGCAGTTGTAACTCTTGTCGAAGTAGTCAACCATGAAATTATCAGTCATCCAAAGCCATAATTGAAATGTTTTATCCAGCAAACATCTAAAGGTAATTTTTTATTGAAGACTAGGAATTTCCACGTTATTCCAGACGAAATAAAGTTAAATATATATATATATGGTGTACAAATTTTTGCACCTCTTCTTTTCCACAAGTGTATTGTTTTCTGTTTGGTATTAAATTAATATTAAGATCCATTTCGTTAGATCTGGTGATCAATTTATTTGGCAATCGCCAATGGCAGTCAGCAGGGTTTAAGAACATCAGTTGTTCGACCTGTTAGTCAAATGCGTTTTGTTAAAATAGACAAAAAAGTGAAAAAGTATATTTTAACAAAACGCATTTGACTAACAGGTCGAAAAACAAATGTTCTTAAACCCTGCTGACTGCCATTGGCGATTGCCAAATAAACGGATCACAAGGTGTAATAAATGGATCTTAACTATAAATTTAATACCAAACAGAAAACAATAAACTTGCGGCTAAGATGGTATACCGCAAACAAAGGTGCAAAGATTTTTTGTACACCATATCCGGATTTCGACAATTAATGTCTCTTCAGTGATGTTAGGAATTGAAGCAATATTTGGAAGGCCATATAATTTACCTCAATTTAGGATAGACTTGAATTTTGAGGAGTCAAAATAGAATGAACGGATCGTATAAACCCGAAGGCAAATATATATATATGAGGAAATGTTGTGATGCAAATGAGAGAAGTATCCTCCAGAGTTAAAATGAAGTGGTTGTAAACTATTATTGGCCACCGTACGGTCTTCGACCATGAGAAAAACCCATACCGTACAGTCGGCTATAAAAGTCCCCGACATAAAAAATATGAAACAATTCAAACGAGAAAACTAACGGCCTTATTTATAACAAACCAATTTACGAAAAAAACATATATGACAACGACAACCACTGTACTACAGGCTCCTGGCTTGGAACAGACACACAAAAAATTAATCGTTCATATAATATTCATATTTTGTAAGATGTGCGTTGACGCAACTTCACACAATGACTTTATTTATATTCAGTAAAATTAGAAAACAGAATACAATATTCGCAATTAGAATAGAGAATGGAAACAGGTATTGTGTCAAAGAGACAGCAATCCGATTATAGAGCTGAACACAGCCCACAGCCACCAACGTGTCTTCACACAGCGGGAAAATCTCGCACCTTGAGGCGGACTTCCGCTGGTTCCCTTAACAATAATTTATACTAGTTCAGCGAAATGAACGCCACACTAAAGTCCGAAACATACAAATGAACAAATGAACACAAGACTAACTGTCGTAAATACCGCACACATGACGTTCACTGTGTACCGCGATTTATGTAACGTCACGTCACCTTGACGTTTTACTATGGCTTTCAAATACATCTATCAAATAGTGAAGACGTCTTTCTTTCTTATCAACCACTTTATGATACTAACAAAGGCTAGTTCATGACTTGGGACAGGCGCAACAATGTGACGCGGGGTATAAAAGTAAGGAGATGAGGTATGATTGCCAATGAGACAACTATCAACCAAAGTTCAAATAATGTAGATGTAAGCAATTATAGGCAACAGTTCGACCTTCAACAATGAGTAAAACTCATACTGGCTATAAAAGGACCCGACATGAAAAATATGAAATAATTCAATTGAGAAAACTAACGGCCTAATTTATAATAAAACAATTAACGAAAACCAAATATGATAGACTTGAACCAACGACAACCACTGAACTACAGGCTCCTGACTTGGGACAGACACATAAAGAATGTGGCGGGGTTAAACATGTTTGTGAACGCTCAACTCTCCCCCTAACATGGGACAGTAGTGTTACAGCACAACATAAAAACAAACCATAAAAATCAGTTGAAAAAGGCTTAACTCATCAGATCGTTACATACATCAGATACGTACAGATCTGAGAGTACTCGCAGTTACTGACTTCTAGTTCAAAGCCAATAACAACTAATAAAAAAATCATGTATCTAAGACTAAAATATCAATCAGTACACATCCAACATCCAATTGATTTAGTGTAAAGACGTCATTAATAGTCAGAAAAAAACATGACCTTGTCCAATGCCAAATAAAAGACTCGACAGATGGTGGTACCGTTAAAGTGCATATGTAACAAAACTATAAGTATGATTTTAATTTACTGATAACAAAATCAATATTCATACTAATAAAAATAATATTCAAAGATCTAATTGCAGTGTTGAATTGGTAACTTTTTAGAATAATTTTTTTAAAGGATTGATTTCCCGGATCGTATATAAATTTCCGGTCTCGTTAAACAACATAACCGTAAAATTTAGAATGTGCTATTCCGTCTGAAATAAGTTTTTTTCAGGTACACCCAAACTTGCAAACCAAATCTTTGTATTCTAGATAACACATAAACCTACAGTCTTTACAAGTTTGATAAGTCTTAACTACAATATTATCAAAAATGTATGTTTTAAAACATATGAGGCACGGGATACCTGAAATTTACAACTATTAAAGATAGTCAGCATGCTTTTATCAGTGGCAAGATCGTGCGTTTTTTTTTTTATTTATCTATAAAGATATAAACTATTTAAAAAACCTTGCAGTAAGAGATGAGTAATACAGCAAAGAATATTGACGCAAAATATCCGAAGAATGAATATTGGAATTTCCTTAAAAGTATAAATTCTTCTCTGTCTGAACTCCGTGGTACACGATGTGTTCGATTCGAACGCGTCAACGTCCAGATTCATTTGTATCGGGGTTATACGGGGTGATTATAGGCGCCTTGGATAAAACTCATACTACGAGAACTCAGGTCAAATCATATCATGCATTATGCAGATGTATTCAAACCAGCTATCTAAAGAAAAAGCATGAACCAATCATTTTATACTAAAAAATAGCATATCAATGGAACACATATTATGTCATTAGTTTTCTATGTTCTGTTTTGTGTACTGTTGTTTGTCTATTGGGGTTCTTCTTTATCTGTCATTTCGTTGTCAGTTTATCTTTGACTTATGAGTGTGAATGTCCCATTGGTATCTTTCTCCTCTCCTTTATTACTGGATCTAATTCCTTACATATTTCAATATGTTATTAGGTTTATCAGTACGAAAACCATATACGATTGGAATTTTGTTATAAGAAAATATATACATTTAAGGTCATTGCACCAACATGAATTCCATAACTGTGTGTTTCTGCAATTTTAAAGTCGATATGTAAAAGTGTGGACTTTAATACACATCCAGTAAGAAATATGAAAGCAGTTAACTTCACAAACTGAATAGGACATACCAATGTACATTCGCAAGTTGTAAACATGTAAAAACAATCTTAATAACGGATCCTCAAACTGATGAAAATCTTGCAATTTTCCATTCTTTTGTACCCTTTTGAATTTAATTATGAAATATGGAATGACGGCGGGAAAAATAGTTTGTAATTTGAACACGTGATTGAATAGTTTTGTATATACATAAATGGTCAAATGAGCACCGCCATGCAAATTCACTCAGTCAAAATACAAAAATTTGGAATAGGACAAGATCGGTAACAATTATAGACTGTTTCCCTGTCTTTTATCTGTTTGAATCTGACAGATATAACTGTCTGAGATACCCGTATGATGCAAGGGAGAGGACCAGCCTATCAAAATTACAGATCAGACATGCAACCATTCTGGTATCTAAAGATAAAGATAAGTATCAGTAAATGTTTGTCACTTCCAATTTGAGAGATTGAGATATCCTCATTTTACCATTCACCAACATAAAATCTCAAATCAATGTTTACTTAACTTAACATTCTTTTAATTAATTAAATTCAATTCGAGATATCGTAAAACTAAAGTAATATCGATTGCATTCGGTCTTCCTCATAGTTCTGTTGGAGCAGTTTTTGTGTAAGGAGCACATCCCTGTTATCGATTTCTTGACATAAGGACTGAGCTGAATCTTTCGAAACAAAATATGTATGTAAGCTCCGAACGCTTGTGCAATATTTAGAATATCGACTGTTTTTGGAATACATATTT